CTAACATGAATCGTCACATATTTGTATCGATTTTCAACTAGCTCGTTACATCCCTAGTTACTACTGTAACGAACACAACATTTATGCGCATCAGTTTAGCTGATAAACCGTGCAGTCTTATTTCTGTGTTGTTATTAATGTTGTGGTTATTTCAGCAGTTTGCTTCATACATTCAATTTAACATCAGGTTAAAGACGGCAAACTTTATCGTTCAATTTTAGACAATGTATATTCTTGCTGCATCCATGAAATAAATGCACAACCTTCAATGATTGTGGTTTTCTAGTGTATTTAATTGAACTGCTCAGGAATGGCCCATTTCAGGGGTGTCCTGAGTTACAATTTAAAATCAATCGAAGCTGTAGAAATGTATCTACCACTATATGATATAAGTAAAGACTCGTATTTTAAGTAGGCTGCTGTGGAGCTTCATATTTCAAGTAGGTTGCTGTGGAGCAGGCGACCAGAGCGGAGTAGGTGACCAAGGTGAAGCCTGCGGAGAAGGAGACCACCAGAGGTCAGGAGGCCATGGTGGAGCAGAGACATGGACAGACCAATCAATGGCAGTAACACGACAAGCAGAGAGTTCATGAACGGCCTCCGTGGCCACGACATGACAGGCAGAATATCCTTGAACAGCCTCAGTGGCCGTAGCATGACATGCAGAGAAATTTTATGCGCATCAGTTTAGCTGATAAACCGTGCAGTCTTATTTCTGTGTTGTTATTAATGTTGTGGTTTTTTCAGCAGTTTGCTTCATACATTCAATTTAACATCAGGTTAAAGACGGCAAACTTTATCGTTCAATTTTAGACAATGTATATTCTTGCTGCATCCATGAAATAAATGCACAACCTTCAATGATTGTGGTTTTCTAGTGTATTTAATTGAACTGCTCAGGAATGGCCCATTTCAGGGGTGTCCTGAGTTACAATTTAAAATCAATCAAAGCTGTAGAAATGTATCTACCACTATATGATATAAGTAAAGACTCATATTTTAAGTAGGCTGCTGTGGAGCTTCATATTTCAAGTAGGTTGCTGTGGAGCAGGCGACCAGAGCGGAGTAGGTGACCAAGGTGAAGCCTGCGGAGGAGACCACCAGAGGTCAGGAGGCCATGGTGGAGCGGAGACCACCAGAGGTCAGGAGGCCATGGTGGAGCAGAGACATGGACAGACCAATCAATGGCAGTAACACGACAAGCAGAGAGTTCATGAACGGCCTCCGTGGCCACGACATGACAGGCAGAATATCCTTGAACAGCCTCAGTGGCCGTAGCATGACATGCAGAGAAATTGTGAGCGACCTCCATTGCTATGATATAACAGACAATGTTCAGAGATGGCCTCCATAGCCGTGACAGGACAGGCAAGGGGTTCAGGGATGGCCTCCTTGGCCGTGGCAGGACAGGCAGAGATTTCAGGGATGGCAGAGAGTTCACAGGTTGGCACCAACACAGGACTGAGCTCTAGGGCTTGAGTGGGCTCTGGAGCGGCTTCATGGACTGGAGCAGGCTCTGGAGTGGATTCATTCATGCTGTCACAGGAAGTGCAGACGACAGTGGCAGAAACTCAGGGACTCCCAGACGTGGACTTAAGACCACTGGACAAGATCTGTTTGCTGCTCGGACTGAACTCAAAGGTTGAACAATAACACTGGCCATTAGTCTTATCGGTCTCGGCCTAAGCTCTGCATACGTTGGAACAGGCTCTGGATTGACAGGCATGACATGAAGAGGCTCTGGCGGTCGTGGCATGAATAAATCCTGACATGACGGTCGGGACGTGGAAATGCTCTGGTGTAGCATTTGTCTGATACTCTTAGGCTGATGATACACGGGGCAACTTTTTAAGCAATGTTGCCAGGCAACTTTGGGCAATGTTGCTGCCAACGGGCAACCAGATGAGACACAGGGCCCACGACCGATCTAAAGTATCCAGATAGACATTTGTATGGACTGGAGCAGGCTCTGGAGTGGATTCATTCATGCTGTCACAGGAAGTGCAGACGACAGTGGCAGAAACTCAGGGACTCCCAGACGTGGACTTAAGACCACTGGACAAGATCTGTTTGCTGCTCGCACTGAACTCAAAGGTTGAACAATAACACTGGCCATTAGTCTTATCGGTCTCGGCCTAAGCTCTGCATACGTTTGAACAGGCTCTGGATTGACAGGCATGACATGAACAGGCTCTGGCGGTCGTGGCATGAATAAATCCTGACATGACGGTCGGGACGTGGAAATGCTCTGGTGTAGCATTTGTCTGATACTCTTAGGCTGATGATACACGGGGCAACTTTTTAAGCAATGTTGCCAGGCAACTTTGGGCAATGTTGCTGCCAACGGGCAACCAGATGAGACACAGGGCCCACGACCGATCTAAAGTATCCAGATAGACATTTGTTATCCATTCTCAATGTGAAAGTGCCTAAACAACATTGCTCAAAAAAAGTTGCACCGTGTATCATCAGCCTTCGGCTCTGATACTCTTAACTTCTCAATACTCAAATTGATGCTTCCTCATTTCCTTGCTCCTCCATCCTCCAGCCTGTGACATGGAAACCGATCAAAGTTAGCCATATTTTTTTTAGCCATCTTTTCTTATTTTGTATTTGTATTTTATTTTTAAGAACAGCATATTATAACAAAGCTTCTCAATACTCAAATTGATGCTTCCTCATTTCCTTGCTCCTCCATCCTCCAGCCTGTGACATGGAAACCGATCAAAGTTAGCCATGTTTTTTTAGCCATCTTTTCTTATTTTGTATTTGTATTTTATTTTTAAGAACAGCATATTATAACAAATATACCACCAAAATAATTAACCAGGCCCCAGAGATAAACAGAGATTGAAGTAATCAAATCAAATCAAATAAGAAAAAGGAAATTGGAGCAAAGATTAGGATCATTAAATCAGACACCAGAACAAAACATTAACGTACCAGAATTTTACATATGTACATAATCTTGTGCACCTTTCTACCCTTTCCTACATAATTTGTTAATTTTGTTATGTAATATTCTTGATAAGTGGGCTCCATCTATCCTCAAAAATTTTCAACTGAAGTCTTAAGGAGTAGGTTATTTGTATATATCTTTGTATATACTGTATCTCTTGGACCCTTTGAACCCACTGTTCAAATGTGGGTGGTTCCAGCTTGAGCTATTTAAAAAGGACATCTCAGCTCTCTAATTGCACCATGAGGAAGCTTCCAAAGGAGCCATACATCTCATATTTCAACAGGGCATCTTGCTTTCATAATAGTTATTATGAATGTCTTAAAAAACAAACTTTAACAGCATAAGGCCAGATCCCATGAGTGCAGCTGATGATGCTTTGAAGTGACGCTTGAGTGATCAAGAATATTCTAATATACAAAGCTTTCCTTTGACTCCTCCATCTTCATTTTCTTTCCTTGCATCCTTCCCTCACGTCCTTTGGGGGTGGACCTAAGATGCAAGGAAAGGAAACAAGGATGCACAAATAAGAAATGAGAAGCACAATTAGATTAGTGTTGTTTCCACATTGTGCATCTGCTGTTGCCTTACGGTTTTCCTTAAAATTAATTTCCCTAAAATGAATCATTGAAATTTCACTGTGATGTGGTGAAATGATCACTACATCACAATGATCCACCATTGTATCAGTTTCATCCTCCATGTTGTATGTTATCTGTGGTAAACTGTGTTGCCTTCCATTATGGGTGATGAATTGTTAAATTCAATTTTAACTGTTCTCACTGTTTTTGGCTTGTCTGATGTGATATTCTGTCCAATGTGGCCACTGACCCCAGATGAGTTCCCCACCCCTGTCATAAACCAAAAATGAGAGCGATTAATCTTTTTCATTTAAGTATCTGCCTTATGTTTGGCTGTTGTGGTTTAAATATGCCTATTGTTCAATGATTTATTATTATTTATTATTTTAAAGGCCAAGGAATTGCTACAGCGGGCATTTTAAAGAAAGTTCTTACTACATCCTCCATCCAGATTTTCTCAGATATGTGCGTAACAGGTAAGAGCTGAAATTTCCATACATGTGCACTCATTAGTTAATTTACCATATATTCAGTACGTGTGGTGGTTTCTGCCTCTTCTATGAGAAATCACTCTGGAAGTCTTGAGATGTTGATGCCAGTCTATCTATCTATCTGGTTTTATTCACGTTCAGTTCATTTTATATATATATATATATATATATATATATATATATATATACTTTATATATATATATGGTTTTATTCACATTGATTATACTTGATTAATTCATATTTTGATTAATGAAAATCTACATATATGAAGTTGTCAGTTCATTATTTGTTAATGGCCATGTCTTACTCTTTTCATTTTAAGTTTCTTTGGGGAAAACAATTAAAAACAAAAAGATGGTGGTTGGTCAGGCCCACTAATGGAGCATTTACTCTTCTGCTGGCTATGCACACATGTGACATTGAAAGCGCTATTTTAATACTACTACTACTACTACTAATTATTATTATTATTTGCCAGCTTTTCTTGAAATCCAATTGTTAATTTAAAAGCATTCAGGTTTATTTGAACCAGCCTCTGAGCTTATTGTTTTATAGTAATGTCAAGTTTTTTTCCTGCTCTCATGTAGGTGAGAGTCTATGGTTTTAGCACTGCTGACTATCGGAAATATCCAAACTACTACTATGACACCAAACACACTAAACTAGTGTTTTTTTTGCTAACCATGATTATCGTTTGGAGATGAAAACCCGGAAGGAATTTCATGATGACAAATTTATCTGGATGTATTTAGGAAATTCTGATAACTAAATGAATCTGTTTCTCTTGCAAGAAATTAATCATCTTTGAAATGACCCAAGTAATTACTAGACAAAGAATGTAGTTGAGTCAGGTTTTTTTTTTAACAACCAGGAAGTGTATTTTTTTAAATGTAACTTTTTGTATTATTAGTTTTGTATTTATATTCTTGGAAAAAAATCTCTCAGGATATTACAGCGTCCAGGCACCAGATGTCGCACTAACTTTAGAAACTTTAACGACTTAACATGGTAGTCCGAGATGTTTTCCTTGACTATATAGCAGAAATTACCATCAACGAATACGAAGGCCTTTGGGAAATAACTGCTAAATTAGCCTTGATTAACACTTATGGTATAAATGCAAACTGTAAATATAACATGGAATTATATAGAAATCTTTGGAACATTACATTCAGCAATTTGAACATACAGAGTATTTTACAGGAGATATTCGCATTTATGGAATTCCTTTTTTTCTGGAATATTTAAGAGAGTCTTCACAGCGCACATTTCAGGAAGAGAGCGCACCAGGGAGGCGCGTGACAGATCCGCGCACGCTCGCGCACGCTCACTTGTGCTGTGGCAAACACGTTCAATTATGGCATTGCTCTTTTGCGATTTCCCGAACAGAAACCGAAAACATAAACGGGATTATGCTTATTGAACTTCGTCGATTTAGTGGAATAAGTGGCTTCAAGCGCTTATATTGACCTGGCTACGCACTGGTGAGTATATATGTGATCCTACAGTTCTACACGACAAGTGCATTACTTCTTTACTATTTGATTAAATAACACAGACAGGTAACCGGTCAGGAAAGTTGTCATTAATGTCAAACAGTTGTACACAGATTCAAGATGTCATAAACTGTTTTCTTTTATGTACAAATATTATGTTAAAGTGTAAATGACTGTATAGAACCATGATAATACAGCATGTCTGTTTTCCCCATAGGTTTCCCTGTGATGTTTCTGGCTGTAAGGATGGCTTACATTCAGTATACTCCCGCTGCTCAAGAACAATCATCTTCTTTATGTAGCATTTGTAGCAACTCGAAAACAAATTAAAAGCGCAGTGTGCTAAATGTTTAGACCATATGTGTAAAAAACGATAAGGTAAACCAAAAGCCAAGTCCAAAGTTTCATGAACCGAGAAGATCATGACATTGTGAATCCAAATTGTAACACTTTTCTGGAAGCTGGACAAGAGCCATGGGCAAGGAGCAGGACCTTCTTCTGGCTGTGAAGAATGGAGACCTTCCTTTAGCTCATAAACTTCTGGCCAAGATCAAGACCAACAGAAATAGTAAGTAGGCTGCTTTTTAAACATATTTCTTCTTTTGGCAGCTGTTGTTGTGTGTTGTTGACTATAGATTGCAGTATAGTGATGTGCAATTTTTAGTCATTTGAAAATATTAAACAAACTCATCATCATTGTCTGTACTGAGTCAATACATTATCAGCCACAGATCAGATTATACATCAATTAAGTATTTCATCTCTTAAAATTTTGTTTCACATTTAAAATATTTTAAATGAGCTAATCTGCAACCTGATTCCCTGTATGCTCATTCGTGCAAACATTGTTGTGTCATAGATTACACTTTAGTTGAGGAATTCATTTTCAAGCTCATAAGTTGTTGATTTCACTTGCCTAGATGTTGCTGTGTCTAATTTTAAAGGGGTCTTATGATGCTGCTAAAAAGAACATTATTTTGTGTATTTGGTGTAATGAAATGTGTTTCTTTCTTCTGCGAGGCGTATTTGAAGTTTCAGCGCTCTGGATTTTGGATGGAGATTTACTGCTGATCACAGGACCGTGCTTCACTGAAAGATACGCATGACAATCGCAGCTTCTGTCGAATCGCGATCTCGATTCCATTTCGATTTATCGTGCAGCCTTACTAGAGAGGATTTTCTTTTTCCCAAAAATGCTAATATTATCGCATTGGACTAAAACTTACTGACTTTGCTCACACAGGGTATACCAACTTCCTAGGCCTATGTACAATTCTTTCCAAAAAGAAATACAAAATCTGTGTTACTTGAAAGAAACAAGTTGACAAAATGATTTAATTGAAGATTTGGTGATAATATAGCTTAATTAGAGTTTTACAAGCAATTTTTAAAAGGCTGGTCAGGAACCCAAATTATGTAAAGGATTTTTCTGCACAGTGCAAGGGGTAAGTTTTGTGTAGCCTAATCCCTGTTTTGCATAATTTCCACACTGTGCCTAAACCAGGCGAAACGGCAAAGTGACCAGTGATAAAGGATGACTCGCGTAACTTGAGGGTGGCATTTTAGTGATCATTTGGTTTCTGGTTTTGTGGCGATGCGCTGTGAAATCTCATTGGTCCAAATCCCAGTCCACATAGCTGTGCATTTTATATATCAAATATGTTCTGTTTCTTATTGTGCAATGAAGAGCTTTCGCCTTCGGCAAAGAGCGACAAACCACTTGTTGTTGGAATCACAGCGTTGCTTCTGATTAGTACATGGTGTCAGAAAGCGATTGTTTGTAGCTATAATAAATATGGGCGTGATTTAGTTGTGTAGTTACTTAACTTGTCAGCTTTGATTTGTCTTACCTTCCCTGTTTCATTTCAGATTTCATTGTTAATGCAAATGATAGCAAATCGCGACATCCTCATTGACTTATGTAATAGGTAGTGTGCACAGTAATTTGGAAGCAAGAAATCACTACTTTGAATAATAATCAGAGGGAATAATCAGTCATTTCAGAATAAAAATATTTTAATAAATATTATCGCTCTTACACAGACATGTCCTTTTTAGTTTGGATTATATTTGACCTTTGTGACCCAAATGTTCTGTATTGTCAAGCTGAATAATGACCTACATTGAGATTTAACATAATCTTTGGTATCACTATGGCCATTGGTCATATGATCCACTGAGCTTCAGCTCATTCAGAACAGATTGTTTAAAAACAAAACCTTACTTTCCTGGTTATTTCCAACAACATTAATTTCACAAAAATGATTAATCGAAGCTTCCATGATAAAAATGTCCTGTTTGGAGAAAAGTCATTATGCACAGACTAGCAAGGTAAATTGAAGCTTAATTCAAGCTGATTGGTTCTCGGCAGCTCTGTTTACAGTCATCAGTACCATAACAACTTTACAAAGGCAGGTGACGAAACCAGACTATGCAAGAGATATGAGATCAGAACACCATGTCTGCTTTCGTTGTAATGATTTTATCTTCATCCAAGTGAGTGACTAGGATCAATCTGTGAAGTTTATCTTAAATACCTTCTTTCTAACGTCCTCATTCATGATTGGGTAAAGATTAAAATTTTGAGAAGGAATCGAAAGATAACCTTCATGGATATGCATGACGTCTTTTTTTAGATGGCCAAAAGCCTTTTTTGTGTCACAGAACATGTTATAGTTTAGTTATTGTTAACAAAAATTAAGAATATGAAATTTAAGAGAAAAATTTTTTATTTCATTAAAAAATTGTTTGAATGGAGATTTAGTGCTCCGTTTCATTAATGTGGCAGAAAAAGGATGAAGGAAAATGTTTATGTAATAATTAATATGCATTGATTGTTTAATATGGACATATGGGTAGCCCAGTGTGGGCAAAATAAACTTTATTTTGTATTTCGCAGAATTAGAATATGCAGAATTTGAATTTATTAGTGAAACTTTGCCTTTCAGACATAGGTTTGATTGAGTCATTTGCGAGATCATTTTCATTATTTCAAATGTACATTCAGAAAGTAATTCACTTTTGTGCGCAGTCACTTGGTGTGTGTTGCATAACCTGGTCCTTCGTTTATCTCTGCTCATCCACTGACAGTAAGCTCAGACACCTTGACAATTTTCCAGTTGTTTTGTTCAGGGAGGCTTTCATCGTGTGGCAGAACGTTGTTTAAGACATGAGCCAAGATCCAGTGTTTTGGAAGGGTATTACAGCAAAGCCTTTTTCCTATTTTGTGGTGGTAATTCCCTTTGAACACACTGTCACAAAGGCTCATGGGATAACAGTAATGTGACTGCTGGGTCTGGTGCGCCACACATAAAGATGCTGAAATCCTCGTGGGTAAAGGTGTATAGCTAGGTGGTTCAACCTTATGCAGAGATGAAAACTCCTCTATCTACAGTCTTCATTTTTAATGCTAGCTTATTGAGAGGTTGCTAATAAGGTGTTGCTTATAATTTTACTAATAAGACAAGTTGTTAGCTTGTATTTCACACTGAATTGTTTACTGGAACAAATTGTTGGTAGGTCATTCAACTCTGTTAAACCCCAAATTACTTCTGGCAAGCCAAACCAAATCACTAGTTATCCATCTAATTAAAGTCATTATCTAATCTGTTGAGAGATTTACCTCCAACACCTGCTTCTGTTCCTGTACATTTCTGAAAAGTATTTAGTCTTTAGTAGTGTTCACACTTTTATGCTTCACTGTGTGTGTGTGTATATGTTTGTGTATTTTTGAGTCATGAATATCAAGATGTTTATCAAGGGTTATTAGGGTTATTCTACTCCATTTGACATGAACAAAACATGTCTTTTGTTGTTGTCAAAATGTGTGATATTTTTAAAACCTTAATGACCTTGTCATTCTTTTTTTTGTCTTATTACAACAAAAATGGCAGGTTAGTGGCACAACAACACTGACTTTGATTTGATTGTCAAAAGAGTTTCAAGTAGGTATGTAACGATTAACCGCGAGCCGGTTGAAAATCGATTCAAATATGTGACGATTCAAATCGGTTGAGATGCTAAACAAATTGCGATTCATTTAGGGGTAGGAGTTTATATGAATCCATGTTTGAGGGGAACTTACTGTCTTTAGAAAAGTTTAGATGGTATTTTTTTCTTTTCATCTTGCCTCTGTATAATGCATATTAAAGTTCATAAGTGCAGCGCTGCTTTGTTTACAGCGGAAACCAGGAAACGGTTTAAGCGCCACCTGCTGGCAGAGAGTGAATCTGCATCTCATTTAGCTCGTCCGCTGTTTCATGCAGATATTTTTATGTATAGTTTCACAAAACTGAAGTCAAACCATTCTGTTTTTGCTTCAAATTTCGAAATTGTACAATCTAATTTAGATTAAAAACTGATCATATTGCATGTATGCAGCATCTTTGTTTGGATCATGATTAAAATGCAGTGGTTGCCTCTAATTTTAAATGTAAAGAGCAGAGACAAAGCCTTATTTTGTTTATATGAAGAGATTTCTTTTATTTGTTACTTATGTATTTGATTTGGGGCTTGTTTTAAAATTTCTATTTAGTTTTATTTACATTTATTTTAAATTTTGTCATTTAGCAGACGCTTTTATCCAAAGCGACTAACAAATGAGGACAATAGAAGCAATCAAAACCAACAAAAGAGCAATAATATGCAAGTGCTATATTAGTATATTATTATAGTTATATTTCCATTTCACAAAGAAATGTGCAGCATTTTGTCCAAGCAATAATAAAAGGACACATTTAATTTATAATTTGTCTTAAATCTCATTTTGTAAAAAAAATAAAAATAAAAATCGTGAATCGAATCGTGAAATCAAAATCGTGAATCGAATCGAATCGTGAGTTGAGTGAATCGTTACATCCCTATTTTCAAGTGTTGATAATGTTTAAAATAAATTTGCTTTGCAAATGTACTTTCTATAATTCTTTTCTCTTGAAATTATAGTAAAAGATCATGCCAAACATTTCAACTTTTCAGCTTGAGAATTTCCTTTACAGTCGATTGTTTTTAAACAAATGACTTAAACATTTTCATTGTAGAAGTGTATTCCTTTTTTGTATTAGTTTTTAACACATTTTTGACATATCAGTCAATAAAAGAAAATGTGTCATAAGTTCTCCGTAAGTGCAACATCTCATCGTCTTGTCTTCAGACATGTATAGACTACCGTTCAAAAGTTTGGGGTTGATATGATTTTTTTAATGTTTATGAAAGTCTTTTATGCTCACCAAGACTGCATTTATTTGCTCAAAAATATAGTAAAAACAGTAATATTGTGAAATATTACAATTAAAAACATTTTTTTTAAAAATATCTTTTTGTTTTTTATTTTAATATATTACAAAACGCTATATATTCCTGTGATGGCAAAGCTGAATTTCAGCCATTACTTTAGTTTTTTAGTGTCACGTGATCCTTCAGAACTCATTCTAATATGCTGATTTGATTCACAAGAAATGTATTTTATTTCTTCTTTTAATTTGAAAATGTCATTAAATCATATATATTTATATTTTATACATATGTATGAAACATTGGAAGTGTGTACTTAACTATGTTGCAAAATCTGATCTTTTGCTGTCTTATCTCAGAAGTTGTGTTTGGTAATGACTTGGCATTAATTAAAGACAATCTAAGAGCTGACATTAGTTTGACATTTTCACAGATGCATTTTCAGTGACATTATTGTTAGCATAAACATGCCAAATGTATATTTAAGGCTATTGTTGATTATGCCTCAGACACGGTGTTCTCACATGTTTACATCCAAACTACAGATTCACTCAATACCTGTATGCTGTTGTGATTTTAAAGGTTTTTGAAGGGTGATTCTATTCATAAGGAAAGATGAAATGATGCCTTCAAGCATAAAAAACAAAAACAAAACAACAACAACAGGCCCTGTGACAATGAATGACTTGATACAAGGTGTCCTTTAAATTGGCTCATTATGTTTATTGTGTGGGTTTAGGGAGTGGTTGAGTCCTGTGGCTCATTTCATTTGAGAGGTGCCCACATTAGAAGCAGCTTTTCCATTCAATGAGAAAAGACCACTGCTGACAGACACAAAGGGTGTTTGTGTTTGCACGCACACATTTGTGTAGATACTGTGAGCAAGGGAGAGAGAGGGGGACATAGATGGAAATTGAGAGATTGGGTGGGTTAGCCATGTCTGGAATGTTGCCTCATGTTGAAACTCGAACTCCTCTTGAAAGACCCACAACATCAACTTTTTTTCCCTTCCCCTGCAGTGATAAGTTCATAGCTCCATTGGCATCGTTCCCTTTGCCCGCTGGCTGTGGCGTGTAGCCCTCAGTGGGGTGGTTCTGTTGGAGTACAACAGGGCCTGTGATTAGCCCAGCATGAGCCACAGGCATGGCTTAGAGACCCCTCAGATCCATAGGAAATCAGTGCAATGTGTGAAGCAAACCGTGTTAGGCTACTTGGATCAGCCAAAATAGGGTATAGCTATAGGATCTGCATTTATTTGTCTACTTCGCATGTATACTTCTTTTTTGCTTCTTGTTCAGTTTGCTTCTTGTTCTGTCACCACACTTAAGCATACAAAGCTTACTCTTTCAGTTTTTATTTAAAAAAAACATTTTCCATGAAAGTTTGAGTTCGAATAGTTTTGTAGTAGCATGATAAACACAATGAGGCTGTAAAAGCTGGATGTATAAAATTGTGTGAATTGAAATGTGCTGTGTGTGTAGCGAAATTATGTTTTAAAGACATGCAGTACATCTTTTCACATACACTCTTAAAAATAAAGGTTCTTCACGATGCCATAGAAGAACCTTTTTGTCTAAATGGTTCCATAAAGAACCTTTAACATCTGAAGAACCTTTCTGTTTCACAAAAGGTTCTTTGGGGCGAAAGAAGGTTCTTCAGATTACAAAAAGGTAAGAAAGAGATGGTTCTTTAAAGAACCTTTGACTGAATGGTTCTTTGTGGAACCAAAAATGGTTCTTCTATGGCATCGCTTGAAGAACCTTTTGAAGCACCTTTATTTTTAAGAGTGTACAGTACTGTACACATTCTTGCTGATTAAATTTTTTCTGATTGGTTTTAATCCAGAAGATGTGGGGGGAGAAATTCATTGCATCGTGATGGCTCCCACTTTGCTGGAGGGAACAAATAGTTCTAGATCCAATTTCTTGAAGTTTTCTCTGATTTGGAGCAGAAGAGAGGATCTTTTGTGAGAGTGATAGATTTAGATATATAAATTGGATGGAAGGGTTTCTGAGCAGGTGAATGATTGGTGTGTAGAGGATGTAAGAACAAAAAGAAAAGTTTAGGTTTTTGGCATTACTTTAAAGTCAAAATGGGACAGGCAGCTGTGTGTGTATTGACAGGTAAGGGAACACCGTTTACATTTGCAGTTAAGACTCTTCATTTCCTCTTCACATTTTATCTCATGTTTGTTTGAGATAAAAGAGGTCAGATGCTGTGTAGCTCAGAACTCGTTTTAAATGATGACGCAGATCTGTGTTGTTTAGAGGACAGACTTGTCTACTGTCACTGACAGTTGGGACAGTCTTGCTCTGCATTCATTGCTCTACACTTAGTGACTTAGATCACATTTTCCCTTTAGCGACAGACAAAATCTTTCAGCATTTTATATTTTTTGATGTTTACAATGCTTACAAAGATGCTCTTTATTCTGTAAATATTCTACTTTTGTTTTCTTTTACTTCTCCACATCATTAGAACATTCTAACTTACACTATAGAACAGTTAAAATAGGTCTGTTAATCTGATTGGTGAAGGAGCGTTTTTTTAATTCTGATAAAAACAGTCCAACAGCATTGGGACTTTTCACTGTTTGTATCACTTCACATGTCTGCATTTATAAATGTTTCAAAAAAGAAAACAAGGAACATTTATATTCAAGTTCTTTGTCATTTAGCATTAAAATTATTTGTGGTCACTCTCTATGTAAAACAGAAAATGCAAGCCACTTTTTTTGCTCTTGTCCTTATTCTATACATGGAAAAGTTTATTCAGAAAAGTTCTTCCTAATTTGGATGGTTAGGATCCTGCATGGCTGTTAAGACGGTAATATTTGGAAGGATTAAATAATGAGACCATCTTAAGTATCCCTTTAAGACTGAGTTTGAACTGAGTTGACTCTTCTGTTCAAATGCAAAAAAAAAAATGTTATAATCAAAAAAATGTTTACATGCAAATATTGTTCAGATGACAAAATAGGCACGTAATGAATGTTTTGTTACTTGCAGAGAAAAAATAAATAACATGACATAACCATCAATCAATGTTGTGTTTGAGTACAAAACCATTGCCTGTTGAAAGTTTGAAACAAGTGGTTTCATGCCATAATATCATCATGTAATGGAGGGATCAGCAGCTGACTGATTTGCTCAAAACATCACATCATGTCCTGACTTTCATTTCCATTTGTTTCTGTAGAGTTGCTGGGCTCCACAAAGAGGCTGAATGTGAACTACCAAGACCAAGATGGGTAAGTTCTCATATTTTCCATTCGGTCAGTCAAAATTGTGGAGAACAAGGAAACCATATATTAAATACAGTATATAGTTTCCTTATTTCCCACATACTGTATATAGAAGATTTTCTTTTTTCTGAAGATGATAGTTAATGTTAATGTATTGGACTAAAAATAAAGCTATTTATTATAAAGGTGCATAAAATCAATCAATGAAATCAATAAAAGATCAATGCAGCCAATTGCCAGTCAGTTCCAAAAAGAAAAACAAAACATGTGCTCACTGAAATAAAACAAGCTGACAAAAAGACTGAATTTGAGAATAATATAGCAAAATGTGAAATTTACAAGCAGTTTTTAAAAGGCTGGTCATTTTTGACCAAGAACACCAAATTAGACCAGAAAGGATTTTAAGCACAGCACAAGGGATATATGTAGGAATTATAATATTTTGGTGAGTTGTTTTGTGAGTCCTCCAAACCTGTCCCCTTTACATTTAAAAATGTATGCAGTAAACTTGACTCAAATTCTCAAATTTATGAATTTCCCACGTTTCATGTTGAGAAGCAGATTGAAGCAAAGAGAGTACATCAGACACAGCTACACAAAAGCTTTGGTCACATTTATGTGCACCTTTGACTCATCATAACATTGCGTGTGTGTCCCACCTGTTTAAACACAGGAAATGTGCTGTTGTATTATGTTGACGTCCTTCTGTTTTACTAGAAGGTGGTCTATGCTTTCCAATGCCATTGCTAGTCAACACTTATTCAATTTCAAAACCCTTAACAATCTTGTTGAAAATGAATTGTCACAAAAATATGAATAGGGAAAAAACACCTATTTATATTTGTATTAATAGTATTTAACCTATATATCATTGTTTAACTATATGAACAAACATACATTTTATAAATATATATATTTAGTTTTTTTTAAGTATCTTGAAACTCTACAACAATCTATGCAGTGTTTCTGCTCTCAGAGAAGAGATGCATTCTAATCAATTCCTAAAGCAGTAATGGAGTTATCAATAACATGGATTAATTAAACATAGAAGAATATATTACCTGCAGGACATAACTGAATATTTGACTTATCCACTAATTATCATTTCCTCTGTGTGGAGTCTTCTGCATTAACAATTATGTTCCCCTAGTAAATTAATTAGTGAACAAAGATAAAACACTTGGCATTTAGGTAGGTTTAATCACTTATTACAAAATGATCTGTATAATTTTGCCTTTCTGCGTTTAAATGTGTTTTTTTAAACAAATTAGTGATTTATTAAAGTGTGTTTTTTTTTGCCACTCATCAGTGTATTACGTTATTGGAATTATAATGTACATCGTGAACTACAGTATATAGGACATGGAATTGTTCACTACAGAATTCGGACAACATTACAAAATGTCTGGCATTTGATGTTGTGCACCGTATAGGTAAAAGGGAGATTATAATACGATATTTACTTGAGTAAATACTGAACTTACTTACAGGTAAGTCATGATTTTTGTACAGTAGTTTGTATTGTAAGAATTAGGGCTGTCTAAGTGATTAATTGCATCCAAATAAAAGTTTGTGTTTACACAATATATTTGTGTGTGTACTGTTTATTTATATTAGGGCTGTCAATAGATTACAATTTTAAATTTTCTGTGATAAACTCTTTCCCCGCCATTGACGAGTTATCTCGTCTTTTAGAAGAAAACGCTTCCCCGCCAAAAGCCCTATTCGGACGGTAATTGTTTCTCAGGGGGACGTAAGTGATTTTCCCCATTTACAGGGTGTAAGTCTGTGATTTAATTGCTGTCCAAATCCAGGATGTCTGTGTTTTTCTCTCACCACCCCCGGCCGAATTACCTACTGTTTTTGACAAACACCAAGGTCGTTTTTAAGAAAAGGGTCAAAAATCAAATGTATCAATTATTATATTAATGGTTTAATATAAATTATTTTAAACCAGCAGAAGGGCTGTTAAAAAATCCAAATTCATTCTCTGCCAACAGGTGGCGCTTTCAGAACTACATAAAGATAGACTTTGAAAAGTGCAGCGCTCATATTTATCCAATGAAATCATAGCCTTTTTCATTTTAATCATCACATTATGCTATATGACAATTGTCTTTCCATCCCCATTGTACTTTTTATGGCCTTAAATTTTATACCAAAAAGGACCAGCGGAAAAGGCATGTTGACATTGAGATAGAAAAAATAAATAAATTGGACGAATAAAATAAAATATAATAAACTGTGTTAAATTTTTCAGGTACAGTACAGGTATCCTTAAATGCAGCATTTAAGTAAGAAATGTACTAATCAAATAAAAAAATAAAAAGGCATATTATTAATCGTATGAATAATAGATTCTACTCATTCTCATATTAGGTGGCTGTACTAGAACTACATACTGCACAGCTCAGTTACACATGTGATTTCTTTCCCAGATGTTTACATTTGATTGAGACAAAACCAACTGTGTTTATGTGAACCATGGGTGTTTTTGGTCTCGGTTTGGTTCGCTTCTGAGGGGTCTGAGATCGTTTGGAGTGTTCACCTATGGGCCAAAAATCACGTGAACCGCACTCAGATGCCTGAAAAGGACCAAGTGTGAAAACACCCTATTGGATTGAGGTCTGGAGACTGGCTAGGCCACTCCATGACCT